TGTGTAAATGGTTTGACCAGTATTTGCTAGCGGTTGTCTGCAGACTTCTCCCAATTCACGCCTCTCCTCACATGTTCATTTTTGAATAAACATTAGGTACCATATAGTGGGGCCCAGGAGGTGGACACATGGACCCAGCCAAGGAATCTGTTGGGTAGTAATGATGTTATACGAGGGATGTGGGTATAAAAACAAATACCGGAACATACATTATTTTTATATAAAAATGTATGTAGTTACGTGTAAGCCATTAGTGGGTGACTAAAAACCTCTTTAAAGACAACAAGTGGACCTACTCTCCAGTACAGTTTTTAACGGAAAAGGAGTAACAGGAAATTTGGATGCGTAAGACTTGGGGTAGTCCTAGTTGGGATGAAGGCAGTTTCGGAAAATTACACTACCAGTATGGAGGACCTATCCTGTCCTCAAAAGAGACAGCGAATCAGCAGTGACTTATGGAGTCATTAAAGCCTGGCGTAACAGAAAATAATATGGTCTGGTCTTAAATGCAAATTTTGATCTTGCTCTCATTTTTTGAATCAAATCTAAAATATTTGCATCATAATGTTACCTTCTTTTGATTAAAAAAAGTTATACCCAATTGGTGTGCCTCCCTCACCTCACCTTAGTCCTGACCTTGGGTATTCAAAGCTTTTCCTTGCCTGCCAAGGACCAGTAACGGAGCACGCTGGAGGTTCTATAGGAATTACATGTCTACAGGAAACATTTGCTTAGTTACAAACTCCCCATCTAACACTTTTTCAACTGATCTGTCCAGTTCTTTCAATTCTTTACAGTTGTCAGATCTGCAATGTGATAGGAAGACTTTCCTACCTTATGTTCCCTTTTCCCTTTTAATCTTAGTTTCACCACAAGGTATAATTGCATCCTGGCCTGTTTCTGGAAGCCCCCAAACTGATAAAAACTAAAAGTGTATACAAACGGACGGTGTGTAAGGATGCGGATTTTTCAAAAGTGTTCCTTTTCAAATTCCGAGTTGAATGTGTGAGGTAAGGACATTTTAAAAACAAAACACAAAGTCTTTGGGTTTCACATGTGAAGATTTAATTAAGTGAAAAATTATTCGGATCAAATTGTTTAAACTCACATCCAAGAACAAACAATCAACATCAAAATTAGAAATAAAAGTGGAAATAGACTACTTTGGGGGATATGGTGTGGATCATACAAGCCTGATTGACGAGTAGTTTTGTGAAATTACTATTTAAAACTCTGTATATTCAAGTATATATTTTGTACTTGGCTAATACAGATTTTATTCAATTCTAGCAAAATCAGCTCTCAAGGCTGAAAGCTTAGATTTGATCATAACCATGGCAAAGTGATTATCATTTTTATTGCAAATGTAATCAACTTAAAAAGACAAACATCAATTTGACCTTATGAAGGGCAAGAGGAAATTGCAATTGTTCATTTAATTGCAGTCTAAACCATAAATTCAAATTGTACTGTTTTCTATTGTCGCATCAAGCCAAGAAAGCCTATTACAGACTACAAAAAGTGAATGTGACTCTGCAGGGTCTACTAAAGAAATATTTTGAAAACCTACCATCACATTATTACTTTATGGGTGTACAGCAATTATTTTCAAGTATGCTCCATGGGTCACTTCTTACCAAAGGATTAACCTTCAGGAAGTGAAGTGAAAAGTATTATTACCTACACTTTATAGGAAATGAAGGCAAAGGAAGATGTTGAGATTGAGTAAGATATTCAAAATTACAAAGCAAAAGAATAGCTTTGAGATAGGATTTATGAGCTAACCCTCTTTCCATTGTATTATAAGCAGTCTATATGTTGCTTACAAGCCAATATATTTTTAAGTTACCTCAATTTTTTTGTGTTCAATGTCTTAGTAAAGATTTGTAGTGCTGCTTGTTTCTAGTATGTCATCAATAAAGAAAAATTTTGTGCTTTGTTCTTTCTTTAGAAATACAAGTGAATGTAAAACTGATTATGTTAAAACAAAAATGGTTAAAATATTTTTTCCTAAAATAGAAACAAGATTCCTTGACTAAAAAATCTTTTACTTATGTGGGCATTACTTAACATTTCTCAAATAAACTACTTAACATTATATAGTAGGCTATTTTACATTATTTTGTCTGCAGGAATGTGTTATAACTAAGTCTACTTTCCTGTAAAATTTGCTCTACAAAAGTCAAAATACAAAATGACATGTCTATTGGATTCTGAATATAGCTAAATGTGATGAGAAATATTTTTAATGAAAACAAGAGTTAGATCTCAAGGTTTTTGTTTCATAGGAAATAAGTGCTCTAAGACATGGATCTATAAAATGATCCAAACTTCAGACACAGGAAGTTGATAACTTGATTTATCTTAATGGCTTTGGCTCATGAATAAATGATAAAATTTTGTTTTTTCTTATCTAAAGAAGTGTAATTTATATGAGTCCTATTGCCACATTTGTTCTTCTTCTTAAAGGATTTTTAATTACTAAAGCATTCTTTATATTATTTATAAGAAGTCAAAACTTTAACTGAAAGCTGTTTTTTTGACCACAGTTGGCCATTAGCTGAAATTCAGGAAAGAACACAGGGTTTGATCACCAAATCAATAAATCTAGCCTCAGGCTGACTAAAAGCTTCCTTTAATCTTCCTATTAGTTCTTCCTTTAAATTAAACCATTCCCTCTATGAATTATTTAGGTGAATGCATGGTTATAGAAAGATTACATATGACTTTTCATACAAAATGCTAAAGGAACCTAAAAAAAAAAAAACCCATTCAGCATATTCCAAGAATTACAGCATGAATTAAGATGCTATAGATTAAAAAGGTAGTGGGGGGGGGGAACGTGTTCAAAGAGCGGATATATATCCTGAAAAGCTTGAGAGAAAAATAGAAAAGTGAAGTTTATTTCCTGATTAGCACAAGATAATTCCCAAAGCACAGCTAAGTGCCTGGTCCAGACAAGCTATTAGCTATTAAGTAGTTCCCTTTCACTGTCAAGTCTTTTCCCTGAGGTAATGCCTAAATTCTTAATATCTTATTTTCTTTTAGCTCCATTCTCTTTCACCGGTAAGCTCTACATATTTCCACCATGCTGAATTCTTTCTCAACTCTGGATTTCTACTTTTCAAATGTTTATAATGTTTAGTGCTAGAAATGATTCTAAATAGAAATTTTGTATCTTTTCACATTTTTATTCTCAAAATTTACTCATTTTATTGTTTTATTTCTGCAGTACTAGGGCCTTGCTCACATGAGGCAAGAACTCTACTTCTGAGCTACATCTCCAGTCCTTATTTTATTTTGAGACTGGCTTGCTAAGTTGCCAGGTTGGTCTCGACCTTGCAAACCTCCTGTCTCAGCCACCCAAATAGCTAAACTTACAGCAGCCACCATGCCTAGTTCAAAATTTACTCATTTTAGTTACAGTCCAATAAATACATTTTTGATGACTTATATAATACTGATGTTCTTCCATGTGTACTCTCACAAAAACATAGAGAAAGGGGATAATCTTTTAATATTCTAATCCCTTAATTTTTTAAAAATTTAAGTTTTTACTCTTTTCCATTCATGATAAATAATTCCCTCCTCAAGTCTTTATGTATGTCTACTTTCCAAATTTCTTTTCATTGTAGCAAATACCAAAGGGAAAATACAAATCATTTCAGAGTAAATGAATTGCCTGGCTGTTCTCATGTAGTAGATACTTCAAGGATGCACATATGGCAGTACTTTGAAAATGTTAAGAGGTGTTAATACTTTGAATTGAAAAAAATAAAAAAAGCCCAGAGAAAATATACCACAAGTAATCAGTTTGAATTATATGAAAAGTTATTTAGATCTTGACTTTCATAGAAACACTAATTTTTACCACTATAAAAGATAACATAATTATATTTCATTTTTCTTTATAAAACTACCCTTTAACAGAATATTCATAGGCTAGTCATTCCCTAGGTTTTCAGTACTGATAAAAAGTTATTTTTAAAAGAAAAATATTTAAAATAATTGTTTCACAGAAACAGAAAGTCTTATCAAATTCTGATAAAAAACTATAATCATGGGTAGAGTCTTACCACGCTATTTTCTTTCACCAAAGATGGTTATTTAGGAAGTGTTATATTAATAAGATAAGCTTCTCAGTGATCTATAAAAGTTCCACAATAAAGATGAGGTAGTATGAGACTTTTCTACCTTTGTAAAAGGTAAATATCATCTTTAGAAGTGATATTTATCCTGACACTGATGTTATGATAATCCTGAGTCTCATCACTTCTAGAAGAGGTGCCACTTGAGTAGCTACCTTTTGTGGAGATCAAGACAATCTTGAGACCACTGAGAAGAAAATGCTAGAAGATAATGGTAACAGATTTTCCTGGTTTAATTTTGTAATTGCTAAAAGTTTACTTTAAAGCTATTATTGAAAAATGCTATTTTTATGTGAATAGCAGAACTGCAAGATAGGAAATGGCATTTCAACATAAAAGCAACAATAAATAAAACATTTGCTCTACCTTGGAAATTTTGTAGGTCAAAATAAAATTCAATCCAAATAGAAGTTTCCTAATACAGCTAAACTAGCATCAAGGTATCAATGGCTATATTAAAAAATGCCAATTTGTACAAAGGGGCAGACAGTTCACCAAAAGGAAAACTGTGGAATCTTTCTAGACTTATTAGTCACTCTTTTAAAAAAGAATAGGATATCATTTCATTTTATTAGTTACACTGGGCTAATGTTTCTAAAAATGCTGCCCTCTTCTTGGGATAGTAAATTTGAAACATGATCATTTTTTTTGTTCTGATCAGTATAATGTATGCCAGATAGCTTTCCTTTTTTGAAGTCACATTAAAAACCAAAGTTAATTCTGAAGATAATAATAATTATTTGGAACTTATTATTTTGGAATAAAATAATATTTTATTATAAAATATTAAAATAATTATTTTCTGAATAATTATTTTGGAAGATCAAAAAATAACACAAAGCTTCCTGAATATTGATCTCCATGTATACTTCTTGAATCTTTATTCAAGTCAACTGAAAATAATGAAAAACTACTTAGGTCCTCTTTGGTTAACCAGTAGAAATCTGTGGTTGTTTATAATCTATGGAAATTCCTGAAAGTAACAGGCTCAGAGCTTCTAAAAAATAGCTAAGTAGAATCAACAGTTCATAAATGAATACAGAAAAACCCTAGTTGCTTTAATTACTAAGTATTAATATTGTTATTATTTTTAAAGTTTTCATTGAGAAATAAAGTTTATGTTTTAAAGATGGTTTAACTCAGGTGGGGGTTTTAGTTCAGTGGTATAGCACATGACTATCACGGGTAAGGGCCAAGGTTTGCATATGTGTACACACATGTACACATGAGGATGATTTAACTCTTCCAGGTGGAGAAGACCACCTATTTAGGAATAGCAAATGACCATGCCATATTGTAGAATAAATGCACCTCCAGAATGTCATGTTTTCATTTGATGCTCATTGATTTGGATTAATCCTGTTTTACAGTTAATATTTAAATTAAAAACACAGAAAGTTTGACTTTAAGCCATTTTGTTACCTGTAACATTCCTATAGTAAATTATAAAAGTCAATTACACTAGTATGGATGAATTGTAGCACTCATCTTTACTGAAGAATTTTAAAGTTCAACAAAAAGGGGATGAGGAAACTATATTTTATGTATAGGAACACTGATAACATAGGTTAAAAATATTATACATGTAGAAAAGAACATAAATTTATTATTAAAGAAAAATACAGAATATCCAAATGTATTTGTAATGCCTACCAAATTTCAAATATGCCTGGACCATCTATAAGTTAAGGAAAGAAAATTTTAAGTATACAATTTACACAATAAAAACCCAAACTGAACATACATGGTTAAAAATATATGTTAACATCCAACAATCAGTGTAGCATAAAAAATAAACAGATCCAGCAGAGGCTTATTTTTGATTACAACTGCCTTTGCAGAAAAATTCAAAGAGGAATAACAAAAAAAAAATAAAATATTAAATGAAAATACATATGCAATTATTCCCATGTTACTACCCTTTTCCTAGCATTGTTGTTCTGGCGCATCAATCCTGAGTACTCTAACTTTTGATTTATAATGATACTCCTTCAAATATAATTTCATAGAAGTAGGAATTGGAAGGGCATCAATACCATCATAAGTTGTACAATTACAAATAACTGTTCTGCAAATATGCTGCAGGGAAAAGGGGAAAGTCCGAATTAAAGGAGTGGATAAAAGTGGTTCAAAGAACATACAGGCGCTTGGGTCCTTATAATGTTCCAGGAGTCCAGTAATATCAGGAGAATGGAAGACACAAGGATCATGTGCATCAAAGCTAAAGTTGTGATTCCATTGTTCAATTCTAGCATGGAGAGAACGACTATAGCGTCTAAAACTAACAGAGAATAAATAGTCTTCCTGTGCTGAGTCTCGAAGTAAAAAGGTACCTTCTGGTTTTCCTTCTAGTAGAGCTTCAGCTGCATATTTATCCATAACTCCCCAGTAACATGGATTGTTATTGATCTGAAGGAGGTCTGGTACAAGACAGTGAACATAATCAATCTGGGTGTGGTACTTAGGAGGTGTTTCCAACTGTAGGATATCATCATCCATTTCCCATTTGGGTTTGTTTCTTTTTCTGGAACTTGTGCAAAGTGTTATAATTTCATCATCTGAATCCATATCACTATCTTCTATACTGTTATTTGGACCTAGATTCATCATAGAGCCAGTCATGGGACCACCTCTACATGAAGCATTGTTGGTAGTTACAACACAAGGTTGAACATTGGTATGAGAGAAACAGTTTACATCTTCCAAGTTTCTTCGTTTTAGCTGACCATCCCTCAATTCACTCTGAGACAAGTCTGTGCTTACCCATTCATCTGATTTGGGACTTATAGGAGCAGTGTGTCGTTTAATAAAATGCCATCTGAAGGCTAAATCTGATCGAGGTGGAAAAGGACACTTATCTAACATTAGTTCACTGATATGAATTTTTCTTTTAGATGGAAGCCCGGAAGAGTGTCGACTACTACAATTCTTTATTGGAAAACACTGCCCCACAGCATCTTGCAATTTTTGTTTAAGAGATCGGCCTAAAAATCTATGACCACAGGAATGATCTAAGTCCAACTCAATGGATGAACAGCTGTGATTTCTTTCTTGGCTCCTTAAAGGAACTTCAGTTTTCTCTATAGTATCCACTGTTTCAGCATCTGAACAACTCTCACTCTTTTTGGACCAAGACAACTTCTTTCCACTCCACACATAACCATCCTTTCTGTCAGCACTTCTACTTCGACTAGTTTTGGGTCTTACATCTATATTTTTACTATTATTTTCACTACTTTCTGCCATTTTAACAAATTTATCCACAGATTCCAGTGTTATAAATACTGCTTTTTCAGTTTTTCTGACAGGATGTTTCTTCTGAGCACTTTCCGGATGTATCTAAAGGAGGGGAAAAAAAGTCATTAGCGATGTGTTATCCACCTTTTATTTATAATATAAAGCCCCAATTAGACACAGATGAAAACATAATTAGTACATGAAAAAGATGAGTACCGGCTATGTTGAAAGCAGTCCCAAGTGTTTTGTTCCCACTAAATGTAATCTTGGATTTCCACAGTCAAGAGTCTAAGGTTCTGTTCCATAGCTCATTTCCAATATGTATCAGAAAAAGCCATGTCTGCTCTCTCAGCTATAACATAGGCTTAAATCTGAATAATTTCTAGTCTTGAAGTGTATTTCCTGCCTCTTTCTTTTCATTTTATTTTAAAATTTCACAACAGATCAGCGAATTTTTTTGTTTGTTTGTTTGTTTTTGTGGTGCTGGGGATCGAACCCAGGGTCTAATGCATGCTAGGCAGACACTCTACCACTGAGCCACATCCCCAGCCCTACATCAGTGAATTGTAAGAATTACAAGTCTTATATGCTGTCTACCCTATACTGTTCCTTTACTTCCTTCTTCTTGTTTCTGTTCCTACTGATTAAAATATGAACAATTTTAAGCTGCAAAGTTAAGAAAGTATTAAATAAATAATTACCACCAAGCAGTAGGAATATAGTTTTGTCAACACATGTCAACTTTACTACTAATTTATGCAGCTTTCTAGAAATATGGAATTAGACTTTTTTATTCTTGAACATTTCTTTTTAAGAGAGAGGTGAGAGAGAGGGAGAGAGAGAGAATTTTATTTTTAATATTTATTTCTTAGTTTTTGGCGGACACAACATCTTTGTTTGTATGTGGTGCTGAGGATGGAACCTGGGCCGCAAGCATGCCAGGCGAGCACGCTACCGCTTGAGCCACATCCCCTGCCCTCTTGAACATTTCTTGAAAACAAGTAGATTTCTATAGGATATTACCTCTCCTATAAAGTTGGGTAGACAGGATAGTATTTACATTGTAAAATACTGAGTTTCACAAAGACTCATGGCAATGATTGGTCATAAGTAGAATTAAAGTATTTTTCAGTGAAATAAGATTTTAAGTCAGAAACTAAGGGAAGAAGTTCTATAATCCCAAATATATTGCACATGAATTTTTTTTTTTGAAAGAGAGAGTGAGAGAGGAGAGAGAGAGAATTTTTAATATTTATTTTTTTTAGTTCTCGGCGGACACAACATCTTTGTTGGTATGTGGTGGTGAGGATCGAACCCGGGCCGCACGCATGCCAGGAGAGCGCGCTACCGCTTGAGCCATATCCCCAGCCCTGCACATGAATTTTGAGACTGGGAAAAACAGTTATGCAACTTTCTGATTATGATTACGTTTCTGACAAGGCAAGAACATTAAAAATTCCAAGTCAAGTAACTCTCAGGCACTTGAATGCTTTTTTTTTTTTTTAAAATGGCACTTGGGATTAAACCCAGGGTCCTGTGCATGGGAGGCAAGCATTCTACCAACTGAGCTACATACATCCCCAGCCCTTGAATCCACTTTTAAAGTAGGTTTTGAAACAATCATATTATATGATTGAACATACTAGCAAACAAAATAATTTATAAGTGCTTAAAAGTGTGAATAAATTATACAGACTTTCCAAATAGAGTATTCCTCTTTTGGTGATTAGACTTATTATTTTTATATAATGAGTCCACTGATATATAATAATTTAAAATCCTTAGGGAAAAATGTTTCTAATCTAATTGTCAAAGATATACCTTCACTTAGCAGAGCCAAAATTATATTCAACAATAACTTTGCTTATTTATTGACTAAATTCCACTGAACAAACAATAAGCAGAAGCAACAAAGCTAGCTATAGAATATGAAAATTCACTAAGGTTTGTATCAGAATAGCAGTTTATTAGCTGTATGACCAACTTTACTGGACTGGGTGAATTTCTTAATCTTGCCTCCTTGCTGCCTCTTAATTATGACAATTCTTCTTTTTATATCTTCTATTCTTGATAATATTCCCACCTTTACCAGGGTCCTGCTTCAGTATTTCTTTCTTAATTCTTTATTGTCTTCAAAATTCACCAAACTCTCCTTATAAAATCTTGATTTTAATGCTTCCTTAAAAATTTCCTAATGAGTAGGAAATTGGATTTCCCCTCAAAATGAAAATAGTTTTTTGTTTTTTCCCCAATTATACAAAAAATAATTGTAAAGTTTGAAAATGGCTGAGTGAATTATTCCTTCCTCAGAAGTCAGCCCAAAACAATAAGAGAAAATAAAAAGTAAAATCACAAACCTAGGGCTAGAGGTGTAGCTCAGTGGTAGAACGCTCACTTAGCAAGTGCGAGGCTCTGGTTGCCAAGGGAAAAAAGTCCACAAACCTCATCTCCAACAAACTATCAGATAATCTATAACCTGAGAAAACAGAAGAGCAATAACTGACTCAGTGGCAGAGAGGTGGGTGTAGAGGTGACATGGACAAAAAGGAAGCCAACAGAGCAGGCAAAGTTCAGGACCTTTAGGCACGACGTGCTACAGAAAGTGTGGGCAAAGAAAAGGAAGGAAAATGGAAAGGTATTTGAAAATTTGTCTAAGAACTGTTAGATTTCTTAGGTTTTTACTCCCATACTTAGAGACATTTATTATTTGACAAACTAAACCAGAGGTTCAGGACTTTGGATACCAGACATAGGAAAGTGCAGAGGGGAAGCTGGGGACTAAAAATAGAAGGACTAAATAAAAAGTTTTTTTATTCCCTTCTTCCACGTAGCTCCCAGAACTCTGGTGAGCAAGCTTACACTTCCCTACTAGAACAAGAGAACATACTTTTTTCTTTTCTTTTCTATTTTTTAAGAATCTAGCCTCTAGTTATTTGTTTTATGTGGTGCTAAGGATTGAACCCATGGCCTCACCTGTGCTGGGAAGCACTCTACTACTGAGCTACAATCCCAGCCCAGGAGAACATACTTTGCTAGGAAACAAAGTGGTCAAAGAGAAAAGACATAGATGCTGAGAGCTGGGAAACCACTAATAAAAAGTCAGAAGGCCACACAAGCATGCCCTGAAGTTCACCTCTACACAGCCCCGCCTACACACACACACACACACACACACACAATCCAGGAAGCATAGTTGTGCTCTACTCACAGATGATCGGGTTTTAGGAAAACTTCTAACATAAATGACAGACCAAAACATAAAGTTTGAAAAAACACTAAACTGTGGAAGGATTAGACAATAAAAATAGATTTCTGAGCCTCAGTGGTAAAGTGGCACTTTGCAGGAGGGAGGCCCGTGTTCCATCAACAGCACCACAAAAATAAACAAACAAACAAACAAATAAATAAATAAATACTGGTTTCTTCCAAGTTAAGAGAAGTTATTACAACTATGAATAAGACATAAGAAGGAGGTGAGGACAATTGGAAATTAAAAATGATTGCTGAGAAAAATTTGGAGGATAAGTTGAAGAAATAGAAAAAATAATGGTTAAATAGGCAGGGAAAAAATTAGAGGATCAATATAGGTATTACAGAGAAAATAATAATAAAATGGAGAGGTGAAATTACCAAAGAAACAATACTGGAAATTTTCCTAGTGAACATATTGAACCACTATGGTTGCTGCTCAATTCTAGGTTGTATTAAGCCAATTAAGATCTGGAAGATAGCCCTCCCCACACACACACACACAAAAACGCATACCTAAAGGACACGAGTTTCCATAATGAAAGAGCCTACTGAGCATCTAAGTACACAGACTGAGTAGCCCTAATATGAAAATCTGAAATGCTCCAAAATCGGAAACTTTTTGAGCATAAATATGATGCCACAAGTAGAAAATTCCATACCTGACTTCATGTGATTACATCACAGTCAAAATACAGGCCCATAAAAATACTGTGTAAAATTACCTTATATGTATAAAGTTTATATGTTTAGACTTAAACCCCATCCCAAAGATATTTCATTATGTACATGTAAATATTCCAAAATCTGAAATGGGAAATAATTCTCATCCTAGGGAACACTGAACCTGTGCTGAAGACTTCCTGAGAAGGAAAGAGTTATAATCAAAGGACTACAAATAAAATGGTATTTGTTTTCTCAACAAAACTGGAAGCTAGAAATTAGTTTCCTACCTTGAAGAGATAATCAGTCTAACTATCAGTAAAATATGAGGTTAAAATAAATTGTCAGACATGCAAATTTTAACCCATATTAGATAATATATTCTTCCTGTAAACTCTAACCCAAGGAAGATGTGTGATAGGGAAAAAGAAATGTGAGTTCTGGGGAGCAAGAAGGGAATCTCTTGAGGGGGTGTGTGTGCAGGGCAGGGTTTAGAGCTGTTAGAGGGTAATCAGCCCAAATAACCACACAAGGACAAAGGCTCCAAGGTGAAGGATCTTGAGGAGAAAATAGATTAACTTTTAGAAAATTTAGAGTGCGAAAGCAAATGGAAAAAGGATTATGTAACAAATCATTACAGAAAAATAAGAAAGTTATCCAAGAAAATAGGAGCTACAGGTATAGCTGTGTGGTAGAAGGCTTGGCAAGCAAGTGTAAAGCTCTGGATTAGATATCCAGCATCACCAATAAGGGGGGGGGGGAGAAGAAACATAAAAACCACCTGCTCAGCAGTGCATGTTATTTAAATATTCATCAAAATTATGATATAACTAATGTGAGGATGGCAAAGAGAGAGAGGATAGAAGTAAATTCCTATTCACCAAAAGAGGAATTGAACACAACGTGTAAAAATTGCTGAATCACAAAAAGCATAAATATACTATTTAGAAAGATGAAGGTAAAAAAATCAAAGAGTTAAAATATTTGAAAGTAGAACCAAGTGACAACTATCATAATCTCATCAACTGGCAGTATCTGTTTTAACATTTTCAGTATCTTTATACACATATATGGCAAGAATGTGGTTTCATAGCACAGAGATGGCAGGTATTAGAAACACGGTTTGAGTCCAATCCTGTTTTGTACTATGTGTATGATCTAGACACCTCAATGCATCCAACTGCAAAATGGATGCTATTTCATCGGGGTACTGGGGATGAAATAATTTACATAAAGTAATCAGTTTAACCATGGAAATGCATTAAGTTAAATAAATGTTAAAATATACTTTTTTGGGGCTAGGGTTGTGGCTCAGCGATAGAGGACTCACCTAGCATGTGCGGGCTCTTGGTTCGATCCTAAGCACCACATAAAAACAAATAAAGGTATTGTGTCCAAATACAATTAAAAATAAATACTTAAAAGAATACTTTCATGTATTTATAAAACAGATATTGTTTTGTTAAAGTAACTAAGTCAGTTTTACAGAAAGTTCATAATGAAGAAATCACAGAATATCTCTATTCCAATACTTAATTATAAAAAAATTTTTCTAAGTATAATTGTGAGGAGAAAACCCAGTGTTTTAAAGTGAAAGACCAACATGCCAGATAACAGCTGAAATTCAATAGACCACAAAGCTATGGGAAAATTTGTCATTTACCCCCAGAGAACTAATCTCCAGACTTTCTCTACACAAGTTTACTTTAAGGCTTACCAAATTTTAAGTAATAGGTACCAATTGATGGACTATCTATGGGTTTTAGGTGAACTTCTTACCTGTGCTAATGCTGCAGATGTCCATAAAAGAAAGTGAAAAATACCATTGTTTTAGGCCGAGTATTCCAAACATTTTCACACACTTCAGAGTGAAAATTTTCTTCTGTTTTGTATTCATCTCAGAATTATAGCCTTGAAAGTGAGGCCCCTAATAAACGACCAGTATAATTCCACATCTTGTACAACCACAAGAATGAGATCTTAATTAAATAAGTTATACTCCATGTATGTATAACATGTCAAAATACACTCTTCTATCATGTATATATAAAAGAACAAATTTTAAAAATCTCTAATTTAATCCCAGTAGCAGCATCTGTCTCAGGTTACATATTCTGCTTAGCTTTTCATGTACAGATACTTGGTTGAAAATGAAAATGTAACTTGAAAATAGAGAAAAACAGACTAAATTTTGCTATGCCACAAGTATTTAAAATATTCCCTTTCAAAAGAAACTTCACTTAAAGTGTATAAAAATCTGTTCAGATCTCAAAGGATAAACCTTTAATAAGTTTCACAGGACTTGAATTAGGCATTGTTGGTTACTATGTTTAAAGTGACTTTGATGATTCAAAACTTATAACAATAACTCATCTATCTTGGTAGTAGAAATATAATTAATGATGGCAACTATGTTGCATGATCTTGTGTATGTTATAAATCTATAAATATTTTTATTTATAAATTAACAATATATTTCCAAATCGGATTGTCAAGTGCTTTGAACTAGGACCATTAATAATGGGCTGGCCCTACTTGAAAATTGTCAAGATTGACAGCCTTCAGTATTAAGACATATTCCTTTGATTTGTTATCACTTCGTAAAGCAATGCAGATAAAATAAATGCAACAAACATGGAGACAAGGGAAAAAAAAACTGAGGAAAAAAAAAGTGAGGCCTCTGAGTTTGATCCTGAGTACTAAAAAAAACTATTAGAGTTTCACATAAAATTTTCCTAGCTATTATTTTGCTAGAAAACTATGAGTTCATGCTCAAAATCACTTTTGTAAAATGTTGTTCTCCCTTATCTTATATATGGTCCAGTGTGGGGAGCTACATTGAGTTACCATGCCTTCCAGTCCTGATGCACCACAGGGAACTGTAAGATCACTGTAGTCTGGCGTGATAGTGCCATGATTCCTGACTCAAGTTTTTTCCCCCACTCAGATAGCAAGCCCAGTCTTCTGAAAAGGTATACCCCTCGGGTTGAGCTACACTCATCTATTCTTTTGTAATTCTACCCCTTTGCCCTATTTGGGATAGAATGTTCCATGGAAAATCCCTTTGTGTGTCCCCTTCTCTTGCTCTGCCTTTGGGTGTGGCCTTCCCAGATGTCAGTCAATCTGCAGACAGCAGACATCATGAAGTTAGACTCAACACCCCGCCCAAACCTGACCTCTTGCCTCATTTGAATGGCTTCTCCCCAATAAAAGGGTTCAGCACATGTTCTCTCTCTTTCCATGGACTCCTAAGATCAGAGAAGCCATCAGAGGACCCAAAGAAAAAGGTATCTCTGTTTCTTGTGTGATTATTTTGTGCAGCCCAGTTCACCTGGAGTGACCTTGACTGTTTAGTTGTGAGACAGTCCAGAATGTCACTGAATTATTATAGTTTTCAAAGTAGGAAGAAAATTTAATTTCTAATTATATTTGTCTAAAAAGTAAAAAAAAAATTAAGATTAAATTGAATATATGGCTGACAATGTTACCATCCCTCATTGTCATATGTTCACTTATCTGATGGTATGAAGCTCTAGAGGGAAGAGTGGGAGTCCCAAGAGCTGACAAGGCAGTCCTCCTTACTTTACTCACTATCAGAGTACTGCAACTGTTGCACATGATCTAGATTAGATTTGTGGACTATATTATTATTTTATTATTATTTAAATTTTTTTTAGTTGTTGATAGACCTTTTTGTTATTTATTTATATGTGGTGCTGTGAATTGAACCCAGTGCCTCACACATGCCAGGCAAGTGTGCTACCACTGAGCCTCAGCCCCAGCCTAGGACTGTATTATTTTAAAAGAAACTTTACAATACTTTGTAATAAGATATAACCATAGAAATCTTACTACACACAAAACTTGCTAGTTAATTCAAGGCAAAGTACTTACATA